ATAAATACATGTATATTACATTTACATCATCAATTTAGCACTTTTGGCTCATCTGTATTATTCTGCTACATTAACACATTAATTTTATTGTGATGGATTTGTATAATATGTTATATTACATGATTTATAGAATTCACTGACTTCATAATGACTTTTTATTATAAGTTTTTTTTTAATTATAAGTTGTTTTTTTTCATTATAAGCTGTTTTATAGCATCTACTGAAGCTATTAAACAGCCAGTCTGTGTCAAAGTGATGAATTTATCTTTATTTTAAAAGTCTTATGTCCCTGAAAAAGAGAACATCATCGTTGTTCGATGCTGTAGCGCACCGATTGTTTACATTAAGACTGGTCTAACTAGGGAGTACCAATATGGCGGCTGGTGGCTTCACTTCAACCCTGCTCTACCAACAGGCAATCAGTAATCCATTGAATAAATAGAGATCAGTGGTAGAGAGTCATCCTGTCAAACAGCTCCCTCTACTGGTTACAAACATTTGTTCCTCTTTCCTTCAAGTTTAGATGTATGGAAGAAGATTAGGACCACTGAAATTTTTTTTTAACTGATTTTCTTTTTATTTTATTTCAGTATAGTATGGGAAAAAGTCCGAATTCTGACTTTAATCTCAGAATTCGGACTTTTTCTCAGAATTCTGACTTTTTTCTCAGAATTCTGAGCAGAAAACTGAAATAGAATTTAGAAATCAGTTAACTTTTTTTTTTTTTCAGTGGCCTTAATCCTCTTCCGTGGTATGGAGTGAATTCTGTTGCGTTTTTATTTCCAAGAAAGCGTGCTGCAAGAGGAAACTTTGAATGACTTCTTAATCAAAGGTTTTGAAAGTAACTTTACTGGGTTTTTTTTTCTTCAAATGTTCTTTTTCAAAGTTTATTTATGTGACATATTTTAAAGCTTTTAGATTTTGAATTTTCTGTTTCAAATTTTTCCGTTTTACTAATTTCATTCTATTTGCAGATCACGTTCTCTTCCAGCCCAATCCAAACACTGGTTCTGACTAATAACATGGCTTCACTAACATCCAGCAGACCAATAGAAACCTGCCTTGGTCCCCCACCCCAGAGTAAAGCCCGCCCCCCAGGGGTCAACAGCGATCTGTAGAAAATGCGATTTGAAAAGGCCATTTGTATAACAGTCTAAAAAACAGAAATCTGAAAAAATGCGATCTGAAAATACAAAATCTCTAAACTAAAAGATGATAAATAATTGGGAAAAAAAAAATCAAACCTCAAAAAACAGCAAAGCTACTCTCCAATTTTTTTTTTTCATTGAGAAAAGTTTTATTTCTGGATTGCATTTCCATTTCCAAAACATTTTCTTTGCCTTTCGTTGCTGTTACAGCTGCGGTTGAAGCTACGACAGAGTTTTAGCTCACAAACATCCCACCTGTTGGCTCTATATGGAGTCAGAAACGGGTCAAAATGTTTGTTAACTTGAGAATCTTAGTTGAAATTGAAAAAAATAGTAGTTGATATTTAATGCCAAATTTTTACCTCATAATGGGAGAAACTAAAAAACCAAACTTAAAATAATAAGAATTGAATCTAAATTCAGTTTAGTATTCTAATTACACTTTTTTTTTTTATTTCTGTTGTTCATTGCAGTTTTAGATTTTATATTTTCAGATTCAAATCCATTTCATTCNCTTTTGGCTCATCTGTATTATTCTGCTACATTAACACATTAATTTTATTGTGATGGATTTGTATAATATGTTATATTACATGATTTATAGAATTCACTGACTTCATAATGACTTTTTATTATAAGTTTTTTTTTAATTATAAGTTGTTTTTTTTCATTATAAGCTGTTTTATAGCATCTACTGAAGCTATTAAACAGCCAGTCTGTGTCAAAGTGATGAATTATCTTTATTTTAAAAGTCTTATGTCCCTGAAAATGAGAACATCATGGTTGTTCGATGCTGTAGTGCACTGATTGTTAACATTGCGACTGGTCTAACTAGGGAGTACCAATATGGCGGCTGGTGGCTTCACTTCAACCCCGCTCTACCAACAGGCAATCAGTAATCCAATGAATAAATAGAGATCAGTGGTAGAGAGTCATCCTGTCAAACAGCTCCCTCTACTGGTTACAAACATTTGTTCCTCTTTCCTTCAAGTTTAGATGTATGGAAGAAGATTAGGACCACTGAAATTTTTTTTTAACTGATTTTCTTTTTATTTTATTTCAG